GAGAAACACACCTACATGCAAAATCTGGTAAGCAGTTCCAGGGAAGTCACTGAATTCAGAAGGTCAACTATGAACCCCAGGTTAAGAATTCTAATAAATGGGGGGAAATGCCTTTAACAAACCTGGCACGACAGGCGAGCTAACCCTGGCTCTGGGATACGACCTTCCTAAATTTTCTTGTTCTCTAAAATGAGGATATGAATGGCTTTGAGTTCACAGCCTTGTGAGGATAATATGAGATACTGCATTTAAACCTCAGTAAAGTACTTGGCGCATGGTATGTGCTTAAACAGATACCAGCTCACGGCATTTATTATCTTTATTATTAGGAACTACAATTTGTTATGGCACTTTCCTTAGCAGCAGGGTTTGTCCTAGGGTTTCATAAATGATTTTCTGCCTGGTGGGTTTTAATTAAATAAACAAATGATAAAAGAGACCTGTTTAAAAATGTATATCAAAACTCCGGTGTTTCCAGTGTTATTCTGCCTCAGATCCTTGGAACAGGGGTGCACTTAGTGTAGACAAAAGAAGAGAAAAAAGTCTATCTTTCCTTTTTCCTGGGTACAGGCACATTTAGAACGAGAGCAAAGTTTATCTTGTGAACCAGTTTTTGGGTTTAGAAGAACTTCCACTGATCTAGCAACTGTAACCTTTGCGATATTTGTGTAAGTTCTGCCCCGAACCTACAGCATTTTGGTTATTATTTTGCTGCACAAAAATCAGTGACCTAATTTCCTGGTGAAGCCCAAATGAAGGGTATGGACAACAAACAGATTAGAAATCTGGCATCTTTACAAAAACAGTTAAAAGACTGAGCGCACAACAGAACTTGAAACACATAAAAGAAAACTTGCTCTTGTCTCCCTCAGGGCCCCGGAAGTTCTCCTGCAGACAGATGTCATACTTCTCCCAATTAAAGCCCATCAGAAAGCCATCACATGGCAATCAAAACACAAACAAACTGACCAAAAGAACCTCCCGAGGCTGGCTGCCAGTAACACAGTGTGTCCTGTGACGGAAACGACAAGACTGGGTTTACAAGCTTTGCAGGCTTCCTAACACGCTCTCCCGTGTGCACGCTGCTTTATGGGGCACTTAGCACGTCACATCCATCCTCACCTCTGACCTGGCGGCGCATGCCGTGCACAGAGTGTGCGGGAATGCCTCCGTTTCTCCACCAAGTAACGCCTTCTCCCCTGTGGGCCTTCGCACCTGCAGTTCTCTCTGCCTCCACCATCTTCCCTCCCCTCTTTGCCCTCCCACCTCCTACTCAATTTCAAGATCTTGGCTTGAAATTTCCCTTCTTCAGCAGAGCCACTCCTGCCTCCCAGACTAGATGAGGAGCCTCATACTCCCATTATTCCCAGACTTCCCCTTCACAGTGCTTATCACAGCTTGTCCCTGAATGCCTGCATTTCTGTTTGATTAAAGTCTGTCTCCCTCTCCTGATAGTAAACTCCACCATGGAAGCAGGCACCCCGGCCTCGTTCATCTCTGAGCGCCCAGCACATAATGGGGAGCCTGGCACAGAGCATGACTTCTGTTTGATTGGATGAATGAAAGTATAATTATCCTCACTATACAGGTGAAGGAAGAGACCCCAGAGAAGAAAGTCACTTCTCAAGGTCAGGCCCATTAGCAGAAGTGCTGATGCCTGGACCCAGGAGTCCTCTTGGCTGGTTCTCACCATTCCTGCACTGCCGGCGAGGACAGTTTTCTTGCCATTTCTGGGGAATATCATTTTGAATGCCAGTACCCCCTGCCTGGGGAGGGTGTGCAAGGCAATCACAGACCCAGCTCTCAGTGGTAGCAGTACCCCTGGTGGCTGCCACCCCCAAGACGCCCACAGCCCGAGTCAGCACGAATCTAGCAGCGCACGGCCTAGACCCCCTCATTCCAGGATCACTCAGTATCCCTCAAGGCAGGTCCTTGAGCGCCCTGCAATTACTCCCACTCTCCCAGGAGCCAGGGATGTCGGGATGGGGATAATTAAGGAGGAGGGTGACAGCCCCTTCTTTATCACCAAGAATATCTCCCACCTCCTGGAGGCATTTCTGCTGAAGGTCTGATTGTGCATTCTCATTATCACAGAGCTGTTCACTTCATCACTTAACTTCCAGCATTCTGTGAAGCTCTGGTCCAAAGCGGGGCTTAGAAGATACTGATACATGAGGCTGTGAGCTCCAGGAGGGCAGGGAACTTGTGGGACTTGCTCAGGGCTATGTCTCCAGGTGTTAGAACGGCACTGGGCACACAGGCAGTGCTTAATAAGTACCTGCTAAATGAATGAACTACAAGCTTCCCGGGTGTCAGGAACTCACTACACCACTATATGACAGGGACTGTCACTAGCCCATTTTACAGGCTAGGCAATTGGGGTTTAGAGAGTTAAGAGACTTACCCAAGGTCAAAAACTCAGTAAACAGGAGAGCTAGGATTCAAAGCACCAAATGGGGAAAGATTAGGATGGGGGATTCAGGCAGGAAGCAAAAGATGTTGATTTCTAGTGATAGAAACATGGGGGCAGTTTCAACACTGGGAATTGTCTTCACCAGGGAAGGGGCAGAGGAATACTATGCAACAAACTTTCCAACCAAGTGCAAAGGCCAGGTTCTCAGGGTCCCTGAAGACATCACGCCGTTTGCTGAGACTCATGTGGGCTTCGCAGCACACAGCACAGTTCCCGCAGCAGGAACTACTCAGGGACCCAGGCACTGAGGGATCAGTGCTCGTGGAAGGCGGAGGTCTCATCTCTGCAGGGACCAGAGTAGCGGGCAAGGCCTGGGTCTCGGGAGGATGGTGAGGAGAGCCCTGGAGTGGGAGTCAAAGGCCATGTCCCATTTTGTCCCTGCACGTTCTGGTTCTTACGCAAATCTCTTCTTCCCCTGGGCCTCACTTCTCCGCTGTATACAATGAGGGTTGTTACTTCACAGTCTCAAGTGCTCCTGGGATCCTTACACCTCTAACACCTGTTTTACTGGACACACACTGAGCAACTGTAGGGTCACAGCATCGTAGAAACGGTCACCTCGCCCAGCCCAACACAGGAGCCCCTGCTCCAGCAACCCTAGTGGACGGTATCAGATTCTCCTGAATAGCCCTAGGCCCATGGTTCTCAACCCAGGGAGATTCTGCCTCCTAGGGGACATGTAACAATGTCTGAAATATTTTTGGTTGTCATAATGGGAGGGGATACGTTATCGGCATCTACTGGGTAGAAGCGAGGGATGCTACTAAACACCCTGCAATACGCAGGGCAGTCCCCGCACCAAAGAACTGTCTGGCCCCAAGTGTCAACAGTGCTGAGGCTGAGAAACCTGGCTCTAGGCAAAGGCGACTCATTACATCTTGAGGGAACTCCTGGCCATGGGCATCTGAAGCCAGGACAAGCCTGATAGGAAGATAAGCTCCTTGCAACGGCCTCCCTGACCTTCCATCTGCCTTGTGGGGAAATCTGGAAGAAGGCTGATCTCCAAGAAATGCCCTCCTCAAGATGGCTACTCAAACATCTGCAGATGGCTGGTATAGCAATTCAGCCGACAACAGTCGCCTGCAGAGAGTGTGTGCATGAGGGCCAGTGTCAGGAGCAAGGTTCCCAGGGAGGAGGCCAAGGACTCTACTGCAAGCTGAGGGGACCAAACAAAGGGCTGTGGGCAGCGCCCAAGCTGGGCCTCCAATGGTAGGATCCCCAGAGGAAGGCCTGGAGGACAGACTATTCCAGGAAGCACGCAAGTGAGGAGCACCTACTCGGAGGCACCAGGACAATGAGCTCACATGGAGGGCCTGAACACCGTCCCTGCCACAGGGCCTAGCCTGGCCCGTCCTGCCCACCTCCCACCTCATCTCTCACCCTGGCCATGCTGGGTCTCCCTCTCTGTCTCCCTCAGAGGCTGGCAGATTCTGTCCCCTCAGGTTGGCAAATCCCATCCCTCCCCTCTTTGCCCAGCGAACACCCACTCATCCTCCGAGTCCCAACTCCCGGCCCTTCCTCAGGGATCCTTCCCAGATGCCCCTTCCCACCCTGTCACATGCTCCCACAGCCCCATGCATCCCACCTCGTACAACTCATCCAGTTGACAGGAATTTCTGTGATTACTGACCACAGTCCACCTTCCCCCTGGACTGACAGGCACTGGGGGTAGGGCTGAAGTTGGAGGTCACTATGAACTCTGGTGCAGAGCCTGCACATGGTAGGGGCTCAAGAAATAGTTTCTGAATGGATGAAGGAACGACTGAAAGTTGCCTTCGGGTTTGTTCACTATAGGCAGTTTAAGACCTCAGTAGGAGGGTCTTAAATGCTAAGCTGAAGTGTTTGTACCTAACTGGTGGGCAGCGAGGGGCCCTGAAGACCTCTCAACAGGGCTCAGTTGAGAACACTGTGATGCCAGGGAACGACGGATTGGGCAGAGGATGCAGGACTGAGCGGAGTCTGGAAATTAATTAGGAGGCTGGTGCAAGAATCCTGAGGCCAGAAGGCTGGACCCCAGAAAGTGGCAAAAGGAAAGCAGCTCTAATTTGCTTCTTGGAGACTGGTGGTTCCCTTCCATTACTTTCAGTGCATCCTGAGAGTCCACGAGAAGACCCCAGCAGCAGCCTGAGATGTGGGGGAAGGGATGGGAGAGGGAGGTGGGAGTAGAGGCTGTGATGGTGCAGACACTGCAGCCCAGTCATCCCCCTGTTCTCCTGAACCCTTGGCCTCAAGCAGCTCACCCTTCCACCCCCAGGCAGAGCCAGAGGAGTCTGCTCAGAGAGCTGCCAGGGAAGCAGGCCAGCCGAGCAGCGGGTGGAGGCGCACAGGGACGGAAGGCAGATTACATGTCACTTCATATTAGCCACACCGGCAACTTTCCCGAACCACCCAGAGAGCAGCGGATTAATCACAATTTTGAGGACAAGCCAAAAGCACAGATAACACTTAAAAAAAATGGAAGGAAACTGTAACTCCTTTCCAGTCATGAGCTGATAGGAATGCCTTACAGAGGGTCAGATGTGCTTACCTGTGAGGTACATCTCCTCCCCTTCAGTGAACATCTGGTGGCAGCGTACACATCTGGCACAGGTTGGGTGGTAGTGCTTCCCTCCTGCCTAAGAAGATAAAAAGATGAAAGAGGAGGTCAGAGCAGGGTTGCCATCCAGTGGACAGGCTGGGTTTGAACATTTCCTAACACGTTAGTGTCGCTGGTGTCTTCATGGCCCACAGCTGGTTGGGAGTCTACCCAGGGGAGTCTAAACAGTCTAAAAGTTCACCAGAAGCTCATGGGTATCTGATGGCAGTTGAGGGGACTTCCCTGGACACCTGCACTTGTCCAGCAGTGGAAGGGCCATCTGGAGGCTGCTGGTCCCACCTCCTTGTTTCCAGATGAGAACAGCCTTACTTTGAGGACATCCCAACATTTCCCTAAGAATGCAGCCCTCACCACTGGTGGCAAATGACAAAATTTTAAGTGGTACAGGGACCCAGGATTTAATAACATTGGATCAATGAAAAAAAAAACAATCGCCTTTTTAATCCTCTATCAATTCTTCTGATTTTTTTTTCCTCAGGGAGAAAGTACCAGTTTGGTGCAGTCTTCAGCATCTATCCCAAACTCACTAACCTACCTTTTTAAAGAATGAGAACAGGTGTGAGGCTTGGAGCCTCCACTGGAACTATATTTTTTAGTTACCGGCAATATGGCAAGTGATCCTGGTTTTCCTGTTACGTTACATAAGTTTTCTTACATGTAAGGGAGGCAACTTGAAGATAAGTTCAAGCATTAGGTAACAGTGAGTACACAAGGCTCACAGGCACAGCGAACGCTGTGAGAGTGGCAGGTGGAGGACACATTTTTAGGGCTCAGTGGACAAGCAACAGGAACCACAAAAGCCAGGACCCGATGCAGAGCTTCTGACCCTCAGGCCTGTCCTGTGACTGCTGCACCAGGTGGTCTCCACCCCCCCTCCCCAGCTCTCCCCAGTCTGGCTTCAGTGAGCCCCCTTCCCAATTCCCACTTTCCTTTTCTAATATTATTTCAAGTGAAAACGGAAATAATTTTTCAACTGCGACTTCCTCTACAGGCAGAAGAAAGAGCCTCAGAGAAAGTTGTGGCTTGGTCCCACTGGAAGCTAGCAGCAATGCTGGAGCTGGACCCAGGAGGGCCGGTCACCAGCCCAGTGCTGCCTTCCATGGTGACAGTTCTGACACTGCAGTCCCAGCCAACAGGACATGATGCGTGAGGGCCCTCCACTAGCAGCTCTAGAATTGCTATGTGGGAGGAGGTTGGTGCAGTGATTGGGATGGAAGGTGGGGCTTGTCTTAAAGGTATATTTTGCACATTAGGGCAAGGCTTTTGTGGGGGGATATGCCTGGGAAGAACTGATGGATATTGGGGGGATGTTAAAGCACCCCCGCTGCCACCCTCTTGTCTGATGCTAGTGGGTTCCTTCCAATTAAGAAGTTATAACTGCATAATGCTGAGTGCCTATTTCTGAATCTTTCTTTGGGGATGAGGGTGGGAGGGTTGGGTACAGGCTTATCCATTCTGGAGATGCTTGATTTATCTAAAAGTTCAGCAAGAATGTAGAAAGGGCAGATTTTTTAAAAAGGAAAAAAATCTCCCAAACTCCTTTTTTTCAGTCTTTGTTGTCTGCACGGCTCCCACCAACGAGAGAATGTCCTTATTATCATCAAAGCAAACTCTGTTCAAACTTTGGAAGAAACCTGCTATTTTCTCAAGCTGAGATGCTGTGGGACTGATTCTCCCTTCCCATGACAAGGATAATCGTTTTAATTAGTAGTCTCTTCCTACTTTGTGTCTCTTTATCCTTTCAATGATAGACCTGTTTTCTAGGATGGCAATAGTACGTTGGCAAAACTGAAGCTGACATCCTAAATGTCACTCCTCCAGCACCCTGCTCCAGCTCAAAGAGGCTTCACGCCCATCTCAGCAATCTTGGCCACGGATGGTGCAGAAAACCACCTGAGGCTGCAGAGCAGTGGGCGCCAGCGTAAGGGAAACCAAGTCAGTGGGATAAGATGACACATTCTGCCTGTTAACAAGCTAAAGTCAAGAAAATAGTGAAGAAAAATGGCAAAGATTCAGTACCTGGAAAATGGGGCCATACTGCAGAGGACTGAGAACTACAAGCAAGCTTAGGAAACTCAGCACAAGGACACCAGGGCTGTGGTTCTCCTTGGCAAGGACACAGACCAGGAAGGAAGGAGGGTGACTGGCACTCAGCATGTTGGGCTCTGTCACTGCGGGAGGGACCATGGGGCGGCCTGGGAAGGGAATGGAATTTAATTAAGTGCCTATTGTGCATCCGGAAATGCACTGGGCCCCGTAGTAGGTGACCGTTGTTCTGGCCTGGTCAACATCCTTCCTCCTTCTTTTAGAAAAAGCAACAAGCCTTTCCTGGGTGGGATGACTCATTCCCTCTGTCAGTCTGCGTCAAGCAGGGCTGCCCCTACCAGTAAGTTACTTCAACTCTATAGTCACGGCTACTGGTTTGGAGATGGGCCCGAGATTAGCGAGATCAGCCAGTCCCAGGATGTTTGCTGAGCTATTAGAAAAGAGACACTCTCCTCCCATTGGAAATGCTGGTGGCTAGGATGCAAGCCTGAAGGTGTCCAATTCCCCCATCATGGAGGAGAACCTTCCTCAAAATAAAGGAACACAGAAGAAAGTGGAGCCAAGATGTCAAGATATTCCAAACATATTTGTTTGGGCACTAGGTCCAGCTGTGCCTGAAGCAAGAACTACTTCTGGGTTTTTTATTATGGGAGCTGAATTTCCTTCTTGGTCCAAGCCATTTGAGGAGTTTCTGCACTTGCAAGCAACAGAGTCCTGACTGTAAAGCAAGCACACACTCCCGTGTGTCCCTTACTCTCACGCTACTACCACACTCACAGCGCTGCTGACCAGATGTGTGGGCTTTTTTCCACCCCCTCAACACCAACCAGTTCTCTGTGACACCAGCTGGGTGTCCTATAATTTATCTCAATTCTGACTCTCCACATGGAGAAGGGGTCAGACCCTACAGGTTAAGGGCTCAGACCCACAAGACTGTCTCCTTCCACCAACACTTCAGATCCCAACTGTAAGTCCCAGGTTGTCATCTGTACCTCTGCATGACCAGCTAGAAACTGGGGATCCTATGATCCCCAACTCGGGCTTACAAATTTGCTAGAATGGCTCACACAACTCTGGGAAACAGTTACATCTACTGAAATATCATAAAAGGATATGATAAAGGATAGAGATGAACATTCAGACAGACGAGGTGCAAGGCGTGTGGGAAGGGACAGAGCACCCAGGCCCTCTCGCTGTGCACCCAGAACCTCTGCGTGTTCACCCACCTGGAAGCTCACCGAACCCTGTACTTTAGGGATATTTATGGAGGCTTCCTTGCATAGGCAGGATCCATCATTAACTCAGTTTCTAGGCCCTCTCTCCTTCCTGGGGGATGGAGGTAGGGCTGAAAGTTCCAAGCTTCTAATCGTGACTTGATCTTTCTGGTGACCAGCCCCCATCCAGGAGTCCGTCCAGAGTCATCCCATTAGAAGAAAAGATGCTCCCACCACCCAGGAAATTCCAAGGGATTTAGGAGCTCTGTGTTCAAGAAATGGGATCAAAGACCAAAAAGTAGAACAAAAGATGCTCCAAGTGCTCTTATTACTTAGGAAGTCAGAAATGTTTTAAGAGTTCTGTGCCAGGAACCGGGGGCAGAAACTGATATATATATATATTTTCTCTTATTTCCCACTGAGATCTCTATTAGGAGTTAAGAAACAGCTGTATTCTCCATTGATAGATAAGGCCTCTAGGATGCCAAGAAAGTGACTTGCTTAAGGTTTCATGGCTGGAAATGGTAAAACTGGAATTCAAGTCTGTTTCACTCCAACTGTGTATTTCCATGACATCACACCACCTCAAAGGCCCCTGAGTAGCTGAGAGCTGCCAGCATCCGTGTGGGAGACGGGAGCCTAGATTTCAGCTCAGTCTCCATCAGAAATAACGTGTGTGTGTGTGTGTGTGACCCTGGAAAAGCACCACATATCTTGGGGCTCAATTTTCTCATCTGTAAAACGAGGAGGATGAACTACTTGATTGCTAAAAGTCTCTCCCAGCAATAAGCGGAAAAAAAAATCAATACATCCAAGATGCTAATGGAGCCTCGTGCAAATGGAATCACTTGAAACCCAGTAACCACAGCTGCCCAAGAAGAGGAGGCTCCCACAATGCTAAGTGACGGTAACACGTGGGGAAAAGTCAGCCACCACAGCTTCAGAGCAGCTTGGGAATGCTGGGACCCATTCTTATTTGTGGCCCTGCGTGTAACTGAAGTCTCTTCCTTCTTGAAAGAAAAGTCTGCTTTCACGACCTCTCATGCCACTGACCCTTCACCCTACTACAGTGTGGATGCCTCTTGCCCACAATCCTGCAGACTCAACAAATGGTCCTCCTGAAGGTGACCTTGCCCTACACCCTACAGCCTTTCCTCAGCCTGCATATCCCTAGCTGCTCTGCAGAGTCTGCCCAACACTCCGATGACCTTGCCACCATTTCAGAAGCTCTGTCCCCTCGTCACCCTCCCCAATCTTCCCCCATATCCTTGACTGCTCCCCCTCTTTCTCTGACAACTTCTCAGTCTCCTGCCACCTGTAAGCAGCCACTCCTCAAGGCTGCCTTTAGCCCACTTCTCTCTCTTGGAAATCCTGACAAGTCCCATGGTGCTATTATTCAAATCCTAGCATTTTTGAGATTGGTCCCTTCAGGCCTGAGCTTTGTCCCTGAGCTCTGATCCACATGCTTGCTGCTCTCTTGAAACCTTGTGGGAATTTCAGTCACACTCCATCCCAAAGGGAAATGGGTATGTTTCTGTCCAGATCAGCTCCTCTCCCTGCCGACCTCAGTTCTGCAGATGGCAACACCAGGCTTTCTCTCACCCTGGCTTGACACTTGGGTTCAACTTTTGGCCCCTTCCCCTTCAATGGTCACGTCTACAAATTGCCCCGGTTGCAAAGCTGCTGGACTTCTACTCCCAGTGTTGCAGACAGGGTGACTGCCCCTTCCATTGCCACTATACCTCCTGTTCCTGCGAGGCCATGGCCTCCGCGCTGGTCTCCCACTTCTAGTTTCTTTCCTCTAAATTAAGCCTCTTACCCTCCGTAGGGTGTAGCTCAAAGCAGGTCACTTCCATCTCATCTTTCCACAACCCCCCTGTTGCTCAGTGAATTACAAACTCCTCACCCTGGTATCGGGCCCTCAGAAACAGGGGCCCAAACCCTTCCTGGGCTCCTGTTTCATGCCTCATCCTCTACCCTGCACTCCTGCTGCTCCCGCTCCCTGGAAATGCTTGATGGTTTATCAACTCTGTGCATTTGTTTATCTTATTCTCTCTGATTCCCTACAACCTTTTAAAAGCATTATCTTATCATGTTGCTCTTTGGTTTCGAACTCTCCGATGGCTTTCCACTGTACTTGCTGTAAACTGCAAACTCCTAGACAGGTCTACAGAGATTTATATGACATGGCCTTTACAACACACTCATCCTCCCCCAGCCCCAATTTATAGAATTCAGCCACACCAGCCTTTTTCTCTGTTCCCTGAAAGGGTCACGCTCATTCTTCCTCTAGCTCTTCACATGACAGCTTCCTTCTCATCCTGAGGCTCAGCTTCAGTGCATCTCTTCAATTAGTCCTTTCCTGGTTTCTACATTCTCTCCTGCTGCACCCAGATGCGGCTGCAGAATCCTTCTCAACACAGTGCTGACTCCAGGTAACCATGACTAATTGGCCAGATTTGTCAGAATTAATGATTCTGCTTTTAAGACCTGACCCAGTCTGCTGTCTCCCAGCCATTGTCAGATAAGGAAACTCAGGCTTAGAAAGGCAAAGATATTCACCCCAAATCTGAGCATGAGTTAGCAACTGAGTTAATATTAGCACGAAACTGTTTCTACTCTTAGGCTACTGGTTTTCATTTGCACCAAGCTCTTTCCTGTTTCTGATTCCTGAAGGTGGGTGGTCCCAAAGCATGAAGAAAGCTTCCTGGGCCCACAGTGGGTGGGGGGAGAGTCCAGGAAGGCTAGTGGACAGGGGGCTCAGGCAAGGGTTCAGAAAAGGTGCTGCAGGTTGTCTGTCACTGGCAGAGTGAACTGTGCATCAGAGGCAGAGGAAAGCTGTTGCCATGGTGATGGACCAGCCAAAGAAGGGCTTAGGGAGCAGGATGCTAGACAAACTGGTTCTTAAATCAGTGCATTACCAAATGCTTAAAAAACAAATGGCTTTAGGCAGGGCTGGGAAGAAAATCATGATTGTCACTCACCAGTAATCTCTCTGGGTCTGAATCCAGAAAAGCAACTGATATTCCCAACACAGCATTTTCTAAGCAAGGAGTCATTTTGTCCAGCCTCTCATTTTGGGGGTACCCAGAGAGGCAAGGTTATCTGTTCAAGGTTATGTAGCAAGCTAAATTGGGGTAGAGAAAGCAGGGAGGTGGAGGCTATGGAAAAAGGGGTGTAGGGTGACTTTCTTCTTCCTCAGTGCTGACTTTTTGGAGTCAAAACCCAGCCTGCTCAAACATCTTCACAGTTACTTGTACCCACTCACCTCTAAGACCCTGCCGCTGATGTACCGGTCACAAGTCTCACATTTAATGCCAAACTGGGAGTGGTAGTCAGACTCACAGTATGGAACGCCGTCCCTGCAAGAGGAAATCCACACAGGAAGAGGAAGTTAGGGGGGTCCACGGGGGTGCCATGTAAGGCATCCCAGGCCTGTAGCCAACTGTGACTGGGCCAAGATCAGAAGCACTCAGGGAGCCGTTAAAGATGCCAACTCCCTGGACACCCCTCAAGCTTTACAAAATCAGACAGTTCCTGGGAAGGGAGCCCCTGAATCTGCGTCTTGGCCAACCCCCCGAGCAGGCCTGGGAACCACTGGCCTGCCGCTGGCCGTGAGTGTCCCTTTTCTACTCTCGTTCTTCTCCCTCCCCACAAATTCTCCAGACCTGCTCTCTGCCCTTCACCCCAAAGGGCTCTTTTAAAAAAATCATTTAAAAAAAACATTTATTTTATTTAGAATAGGTAATCTTTGCATTTGGCACATTGCAAAGGCACAAAGGGAAAAGTCTTCACCCTCCGCTCAGCCTCTCCCTGTTTCCCTTCCAGGAGGTCATCAGTAGGATGGATTTTTTGCACATCCTTAAGGGCTTCTAACAGAACACTTCACCCGTACTGAAAGAATCATCTGATTGTGCTCCTGGATCAGCAGAAAACAGGAGCCTCCCCGACGACCTGCTGTGTGCTCCATTCTTGTCCAGTGCTTACAATTTACTGGGCAGGGACAAGATTACTGTTAGTTATTCTTACACTACCCTCTACTGCCAGTGACCACTGATACTTACTGCTCGGTCTGTGCCAGGCTCTCTGATGGTGTTTTACATAGGTTATTTCATTTAATCCTTACAGCAGCCCTACAAGGTTGGAATGATCCACGTGTGGATGAGGAAACCCAATGTGGATGACCTAGAGCTGGTTCAAACCCAGACGGTCTGGTTTCTCACCAGGCTGGACATGGCTCCAGTGAGTCCCAGCCTGTATGCACACTCGGCAGATGGCAGCTAGAGGAATCCCCACGACTGCTGAGAGGGGACTTTAAGGAGGCTGTTTGGGGCCAACGTGGAGATGGTCGGGGGCAGCAGAGACCTCAGCCCAGCTCGGGCCCTGTCTAGCTCTAAGGACTAGGTCCGACCACATCTCTCTAAAATGCTGACGACATCTTGGGGGCTATAGAACTCGCTTACACACAGAGAGCCCTAAAGAAAAGGCATGTCATTGCTCCATCTCCAAGTTGCTGCCATGTGGGGACTGCTGGGAGCCCACCCTGGGCAGCAGGACAGTCAGTGTTTCCTGAAGGCAGTGAGGACCTGTGCCCAGCAAAGTCAGGAGGGGAGACTTGTTTGTGAGTCCACAAGACAAGCCTCCCCCACCTACAGCCCTCCCACACTCTGGGTGACCCTGCAGGGAGATAAAACCATTTGTCAGGAGACAGGTACAAATAAGCCAGCAAAATTTGAGTATAAATGCCAACACCTCCTCATGTGGACCCATGAAGGTGGTGAGGCCTTGGAGAATTTGTAATATACATGATTCTAAGAAGAGGCAGATGGTAAAAATGAACATTTACTGAGTAGTGATTAGGTACAAAGCACAGATCTCTGAGCCTTTACACAAACCTGTGAGATGGATCTTCCTCTTAGCCCTGTTTTTGTAAATGAGGAAACTGAGACTTGGAGAAGTTGAGTCTCTTGCCAAGGTCTTGTGGACTGGGCTTCTCACCCAGGCATCAACGCCAGAGCCAGCGCCTCTGAGCACCTGCCAATCTGCTGGCAGACAGATGAAGAGCCCAGAGCCAGGCCACAGAGGCCCGAGGCATGGTTGGCAATCTGGGCTGTGTCTATTTGAGAGGAACAAACACTAACTCCCCTAAAGAATTCAGACTTAGGCTCACAGACTCAAGAGCTCCTGGCTGGTGACTCACCAAGGGCACTCCTTACTTGGCAGGCACAGAAGTGCATGCCAAACTCCCACTAACATGGCATTCAAAGCCCTCGGTGCTGGAACCTCAGGTCACCTTCACAGCCTTGGACCCTGCTTCACCTGTGTGCATGCCTGAGTTCCAGCAAACAGGATGGATGTGTCCGGCACCTTCTGCTCTGTCCAGGCTGGCCATTCTGCCTACAAGCTACATTTTCAAACTACACACGCCTTTTCAAGGTGCAGCCCAAACACCACCAGACTTCACAAAGCTCTCACATACCCCAGATTCAACTTCCTGCTAGCTACAAGTGGTCACTCCTTTCTTTGAACAGTCACAGCCCTTCGCTTAGACCCCTGACAGAAGTGCTGTCTGGCCAGTGTCTACCTCCCCTTCCGCCGGCAGCAGTACCTGGCCTGAGGTTTCCTGGGAACCACCCCTGCCCACTTGTAGTTACAAGGGGCTCACAAAGGGCTGCTCTCTGGCTCAAGGGCTCAGATCCTCCTGGCCAGGAGTCGGCATGTGACCAACAGTGGCCAGATCAGGGGCAGCTGTGGGACTTTCGCTGGAGTTCTTGGGGAAGAGGCACCTCTCTCTCTGCCAGGCTTGCGAAGCGGATCAATTGAAAGCCTGGAGTTGCTGGTGATCATCTTTGCTATCACCTTGGGCAGGCCTGCTTCAAAATGAATCAAACACAGAGGAAGGCAGAGCTGAGAGAGAGAGGGAGGGAGGGAGAGTGGGAGGGGGAGAGAGAGGGAGAAGAGAGGGGCGGGCTTCTGAAGCGCTAATGGCACCTTCAAGTCCCTAGTTTCAGCCACACCGGAAGCCAGCATGCCTCTGGTCTTCCCATTTCCATGAGTCAACAAACTCCCATTTTTGCTTTTAAGGGAGTTTGAGTCGGGTTTTCTGCCACTTACGGTGGAAAAAGTCTTAAAGAACAGAACTCCCTTGAGCTCCCAATCATGTATCCCCTGGAGTTATATATTTTTATGTATATAGCTTATCACCCTTATTCTTGACAGCAGAAACCACGTGTGCTACAACTTTACATGCTCATTACGTCCTAGCATCGGGCCAGAGAGTGATACGTAGAAAGCATCCGGGTCATAAAGTGTCAAAGCTCTGAGAGCCTGCGGACCCAATTTCTTTAAGGTACTTGAGTGTGTAAATGTGGTCACGAGGGCCTGGCAGCAAGGGGGGCTTGCCTAGTGCTCAGTGTGCAGGTCAGTGGGGCTGGCCCTCTCTCCTCATAGCTGTGTGTCCGTCACCTCTTATCTCAATTCATTCGACAACTGTGTTACTGACCATGGGTCAGGCATTGTGCTAAAGGCAGCAGTGAATTAAATATAGTCCCTCCCCGGCAAGGACAGACACTAAATATAATTACTGGAGCAAGGTACTTACTCTCTGAGACTCAGTTTCCACAGCTTTTCAAATAGAGATAAACATTTCACAGGGGTAGTCGTGGGGTTTAATGTGATAACTTGAACACAGCTGTTAGTACATTCCTTGTACGTAATAAGAACTCCATAAATGGTAGCTAGCGTGATTATCATTATTAAAAAGTGAGCATGGATAAATATGTAACTGTCAATGGTGCCGGCCTGTATGAAGGAAACGAATGCGCAGAATGAGGGCCACTGGGAGGGCCAGTGTTGGGGGCCTGGAGGTGGTAAGAGGTGGTAGGAGGCCACCTCTGGGGAGAGGGTGTGGGACTCGAGAGCAGAAAGAAGGAAGCAGTGAGCATGTGCAGAAGGGGGAGAGCATCTCAGGCAGAGGAAGCACCGAGAGTGGGCCCGAGGTGGGTGAGGGGCTGTGTGTGGCCAGAGTGCGGTGACTGGATGGAGACACTGTTGGAGAGTCAGGCAAGGCCGCAGGCAGCCAGGCCTGGCAGAATGCAGAGGCCCAGGCCGGGGGAGGGGAGGCAGAGAGACCCACTTGCTGATGTATTCCCCAGTGAGGATGACGCTGCAGGTCTGGCATTTGAAGCAGCTGACGTGCCACTGCTTGTCCAGCGCCAGGAGCGACTGGCCGTGCTTGATCTCCTCCTTGCACCCGGCACAGTCTGCAAAGACAGGAGGACGCCGCTGAGCAAAGCACCCCAGGCCCCTTGACCCCCGCCCTCATCGCACGCCTGAGCCAAGGAAACCCCTCCCTGAACGCCAGCTTTTCCCCAACAGCCCCTACCTTGGCACTGGCATCTGTCCAGAGACTCTGCACAGGTGAGGGAAAGGCCAATGGAGGCCTGGCCTCTAGACCAGAGGTTCCGGTGTGAGGCAGAAAGGACATCCCAAGTTTCCTCCAGAAAGTTCCCTGCTGCTCATCATGACCACGGTTCATCCAGAGCAGGCCGTGCACTGCTCTGGCCTGCCCTCAAGTTCTAACTGAGCTCATGCTGCTCTCCGTGACCTGGGAACCTGCGGCATCAGTATCAGCCGGGAGCTCACAAATGTGCAGTTCTGCAGGCCCCACCCAGACCGACTGACTTTTATCAAGATCTCCAAGCCCAGCAG